TTAAAACTGATTTATGTAAATGACCTCAGTTCTGATTGGCTGCCCTGTATTGTGCTTCATTACAGTCCTGGCAGGAACTCCCCTTATCACCTCAACATGATTGGGTGGGGCTACACCGCTGTACAGTGAATAGGCATGTATTGTTAAATGCCTTGTTTTTTTTTCCCCCAGTTTTCTCCCAAATGTAGTCGTCTCCAATTCCAGCCACTAGTTAGGGTTTCCATTGTACCCTCCCAGAGAGAGCAAGACCACTTGTGCTCTCTTGGACTCCCGGACACTAATTGCTGTAGCATCACCAGGGATCGAACTTACGATCTCCTGATAGGGCCAACGCTTAGACGGTTGTGCCACTTGGCAGCAAATGCCTTGGTTTTTGTGACATCACAAAAGCAATGAATTCAAAACAGCCCATTTTTGCAGCGTAGTTTCTACATGTAGACTGCAGCACTGCTGTGTTTTGGAACTTAAGCCATGTTTACTACAGCAAACTCTCTTATTTCAAACAAGTAAGGAAAATTCGGTTTTCCTTAAAATGGCCTCTTTAGGTGTACAGACTTCATGACGTGGCCTCTTTAAATTTTTAAAGACACTGTATGTCCCCACGCCAGGTTTTTCACTCTTGTAACTACATGATTTACGTATTAGTTACATAGTAGTTTCTGAGTAATTAGACTTAAAGGGCCCATATTTGACTTTTTGTACTTTATTGTTGCCTTCAGTGTGAATGGAGGGGACTCAATTTTCTGACAACATAAGAACAATTACTTCAAAACAGAACATTTTTGTAGCTTACTTTCCAAATATAGACCGTATGGACTGGGATAATTTGGAATTTCAATTGTTTATATACAAAATCAATATCTTTTGTTTAAAAAAAAAGCACAGAAAATTCAGTTTTCCTTAATGCAGTCTATTTAACCTTTTAGACCTACGTGATGTGGCCTCTTTAACTTTTTAAGACACCGTATGTGGCCCCACACCCAAGTTTCTCACTCTTGTAGCTATATGACTTATGTTTTAGTTACGTAGTGGTTTCTGAATAATTAGACTTAAAGTGCTTATATTTGACATTTTTGTATTATTATTTTTTCTCGTGAGTGGTTTTGTTCATGTAAATTACCTTATAACTTCACTGTGAATGGGTGGAACCAAATATTTGACACCACAAAAACAGTTATTTCAAAACAGGCTGTTTTTGTAGCTTAGTTTCGATATATAGACCATAAGGACTGAGGTGATTTGGAACTTTAACTAGGTTTTCACACTAGATCAATATTGTTTATGTAAAAAAGCACAGAGGATTCAGTTTTCCATGATATGGCCTCTTTAAGCTTTTAATCTTTTTAACTGTAAGGTAAAACCACACCTCAGTTCCTCACTCTTGTAACTACATGAATTCCATATTAGTAATTACTGAATAATAAGACATAAAACCAAAGTGCTTTACAATCAAACGCAAAAAGGATTCCCACCTTCCGATCCCCACCATCATACATTCACACCACAGTGTACAGACCTCAGTGTGCAGTTCAACAGCTGATCGATAAAAATGTCTTTAAAGCTTGGTTTTAAAACCAGTCACAGATGGGGCCTAACGTTACTTGGAAGACCATTCCAAAATCTTGGTGCGGCGACAGCAAAAGCACAGTCCCCTTTTTGTTTGAGACGAGACCGTGGAACAGTTCAAAGTGATTGAGACACAGATCTTAAAGATCTCGAGGGCACATACATATAGCATGTCCACAACATATGCAGGTGCCTGACCATTCAAAGCTTTACAAACCATCAATGCCATTTTATATTGGATTCTGTGGTGCACTGCAGCATTTTGAATTAGTTGTAGACAAGCAAGAGATGCTAAGATGTTAATTCCAGAATACAGTGCATTACATTAGTCCAGTCTAGATGTCACGAAGGCATGAATGACTTTTTCCAGATCTGAAGCTTTAAGAAATAATTTTAATCTGGAGATTGTCCAAAGCTAGGAGAAACCAAATTCTAATTCAGTATCAAAAAGGACCCCGACGTTTTTTAACTTGTGTTTTCATAATAAGGGTAAAAGAACCCAAAGGGGTTTAAGGGGTTAACTGAGAGCTAGACAGAACCGTTCTCCTGTAATCGCTGTAAAGCCAGCTACATCTGTAAGTATGTATTTACTTTTCTAGTTGTGGTATGTCCATGCGTGCGTGCCTGTTTGTTTTAGGAGATTATTCTTTCTGCCCTGAAGGCAGGAATTTTTCCCCCTGGACTGTGTGTTTGTGTGTGAGTGTGTGTGTCAGCGAGGTCAAAGCCCTCCCCGTCCTCTCGGCACTACAGGTATCTCTGATTACACACACACTCAGGAATGTTCCGGCGCTTTTTCATCTCCCGTGATGATGTTTCAAGATGTTGATGGCTGGGAGTGAAGTGGGTTCAGGCCAGAGGAGCGGTGATGGAGAGAATGAAGCTGCCGGGGTCTCTAGGACAGGCTGGAGGGCTGAATTACAGACAGGAGGGTTTATAGGGTCACAGTGGACCCCTGTTATTCTGTCTTTATGAGAATCCATGTTTTTCGATTATAGCAGCATTTGATTAGGTATACACACATTTTTTGCCTTTTTCAGGCTACTTTCACATAAATATGAATAAAAGCTTAGTATTTTTTGTCTTTTATGTGTTGCATAAATAGCTCTTCCAGTCTTGTGCGTTCAGCACACTTTAAAAAATAATTTGTACCAAAAACACTGAAAACAAATTATTTTTTGGTGAAATTTAAAGTTTTATGAGGCATCGAAACATTGCCTATAGATTTGTAATTTAATTGAACTATGGTGAAATTTAAGATTTTATGGTGCAGTAAATAACCTATGAAAGAATCAATCAAATTTAATGTTGGTGATATTTGAGATTTCGTGATGCGTTCAGTCATTTTCTGAGATTCTGAATTGAATTCAGTCAAATGCTGAGATTCAATAACTTCCTAAAGAAGTGTATTTAAAGTAAATCATGGTAAAATGTAAGATTTTATGATGTATTGGTTTATTTCTTAGAGAATCATAATCAAATTGACTCCTAGAAAGATTTCAGATCTTGTGGTGCATTGTATCGTTTTGTAAAGAATCATAATCAAATTGAATTGTGCTGATTTAAGATTTCATGATGCGTTCAATACCTTTTCACGTAGTTGTATTCAAAATGAGTTTTGGTGAAATTTGAGATGTCAAGATGCAGTAAATGAATTTAGAAAGACTTGTAATCAAGTTTAATTTTGCTGACATTTATGATTTATTTAACCATTTCCTAAACAATCTGAATTAAATTCCATCATATTTTGAGATTTAGTGCTGCATTAAATAACTTCCTAAAAAACTTTAATTGAATTTTTTATGATGCACTGAATTATTTCTTAGAGAATCATAATCAAATTGGCTCATTCACCATTACGGCATTTCGCAGACGCTCTTATCCAGAGCAACTTACAATTGTAATCATTTTACACAGGTAGGCGAAGGTAGTGTTAGGAGTCTTGCCCAATGACTCTTATTGAAATAGTTTAGGGTGCTGCCCCAGGATTGAACCCCAGTCTACACTGCATAAGTCAGAGGTGGTACCCACTACTCTATACCAACACCTCAGTGAGTGAATTAGTGACTCCTAGTGAGATTTCAGATCTCACGATAAATTTAAATGTTTTGTAAATAATCATAATCAAATTGAATTGTGCTGATTCAAGATTTCATGATGTATTCAATAATAATTTTATAAATAATTGTAATCAGATTGAATTTTGCTGAAATTTAAGATCTCATGATTCATTCAGTCATTTCCTGAAGAATCATAATGAAATTGAATTGAGAATTCATAATGCGCTGAATCATTTGAATTAAATTATTTTTTTACCCTTTTCTGTAATCGTTTCTCAAATTTGATTTCATCTATGTTTACATCCTTTTCATAAAATCAAAACATCATCTTGGGTTGTTTTGAATATTCCTGTTTGTTTCAGTGAACAGTTTTGTGTTAGCAGTCACAGTAGGTATCGTAGTGTGTGCTTTCTGAGGTGTGGGAGCTGAAGCATAGAGAAACTGTGTAAGCTGTGAGAGGATTGCCGATGGCATCGAGCATCACGGCTGCCATATTTGACCAAATTCTGCTGGTAGCTGGGGACTGTAGTATGAGCAGTCAGGGCTTGGAGCGCTAGACTTCTGGAGGAAGGTGCCGCTTCACTCCCTGCAGCTTTCTCCCACATGCACTTCATTATTGTTGCGTGTGGTGTTGTACGGTTTAGCTTACAGCGTTTGCCTTTTTCAGCTGACTTTCTCTGTTTGGACTGTTACCCGCAGCATGATGGTGTTATTGCTGATTTAGACTTACAGTACAGTCAAAAATTTGGACATGAAAGGGTTTTGTTTCTTTCTTTTTTTTAACATTTTTCCACATTTAAGAATAAAAATGGGACAAAAATATAAAATATTTGGAATGAATAATTACCTTTACCTTATACCAAATACAGCTATTTAGACCCACCCTACCTCACTACATAATTGATTGGTTTAATGTATTAACAAGCACGGACATTAAAATATTAAAACATTCATTTTTATGGAGGCATACATAGTAATTAGGATAATATGATGATTGTGGTTCAACATTTTTCAGCTTAAAATTTCACTAAAGTTTGAAATGAAATATATTTGTTGATTTGATTGTTTTTAAACTCACATTTTTTGGAGTTAAATATCTACACAGGCCCAGCCTTTTGTCTGGTACTGTGTATAATTTGCATTCTTGTATTGTATTGCTTGTATTTCTTATTATATTTAGATTGTATTTACATTTTCATCATGTGTACTGTTATAAAATTTGCACTGAACACTGAAAAATGACACCCAGAGAATCTGCAAGGATCATATGACCTAAAAGACAGAAGCTCTAATGCAGCTTGATCTAGTTCACTTATATAGGACAAATAAATAAGCTTGGCACTTCTAACCTGAGCTCTCTCCTCTGTTTCCCTGCAGGAAGTTCTATTATATCACCCTTCTACGGGACCCTGTGTCGCGGTACCTGAGCGAGTGGCGACACGTGCAGCGGGGTGCCACGTGGAAGACATCTCTGCACATGTGCGATGGCCGCACGCCCACCCCTCAGGAGCTGCCCTCCTGCTACGAGGGCTCGGACTGGTCGGGCTGCACGCTGCAGCAGTTCATGGATTGCCCGTACAACCTGGCCAACAACCGACAGGTGCGCATGCTGGCCGACCTGAGCCTGGTGGGCTGTTACAACATGTCCACGCTGCCTGAGAAGAAGCGCGCCCAGATCCTGCTGGAGTCAGCCAAGAAGAACCTGCGTGACATGGCCTTCTTCGGACTGACCGAGTTCCAGCGCAAGACGCAGTACCTGTTTGAGCGCACCTTCCGTCTGCGCTTCATCCGGCCCTTCGTGCAGTACAACAGCACACGAGCAGCCGGCGTGGACCTGGACGAGGGCACCGTCCGCCGCATTGAGGAGCTCAACGAGCTGGACATGCGCCTCTACGACTACGCCAAGGACCTCTTCCAGCAGCGCTACATGTACAAGCACATGCTGGAGCGCCGCGAACAGAGGATGCTGATGCTCCGTGGACGGGCCGCCCCGCACGGGATGTCCCGGGATGAGGGAGGCGAGGGGACGGCACGCCTGCCCACCGAGGACTACATGAATCAGATTGTTAGCGGATGGTAGCGCAGTGGAGATCTCTTCTAAGAGAAAGAGAAAAGCAGAGGGAAAGAGACAGAGGATTATTGTGGGCGGTGCTAGCTAACATAGAGAGAGGTGGGGTCATTATAGACTCTCTCTCTCTTCCCCCAAGGAATGCCAGCTTATTCCTAAATTGGAATAGGACTAGCGGAAGAAAGTGGTCAGTGAGAAGGCTAATGGTGTAGGGTTCCCACTTGCAAGCCTTTTTTCTCCCTAGGAAGAGAGAGAAAGGAAGATGGTGGGCAGAGCCATCCTGTCTTCATCTCACCGAGAGATCGAGGATCATTACGGACTCTCTCTCTCTCCTTCTTTCCCCATGGAATACCTGTTTGAAGCAGACTAGCCGGAGAATTTGATCGGTTTGAGAAGACTAGGGGTGTAGGGTGCACAATTGCAAGCCTTTTTTCTTGGGAGGGAAAGGAAGGTGGTGGGTGGAGCCATCTCGTCTTCACCCCACCGAGAGATAAGGGATCATTTTGGACTCTCTCCCTCTGTTCCCTGAAGGAATATGAGCTTATTCCTGAGGTGGAACCAGACTTGCTGGAGGATACGGTCAATGAGGACACTAAAGGTGTATGGTGTAAGCCTTTTTTTCTTCAGAGAGAGAGACAGAAGGGAAGAAGGTGGGCGGAGCTATCCGGTCTTCATCACACCAAGAGAAAGGGGACCATTATGGACTCTCTCCATCACTCCCCCCAAGGAATATCAGCTTGTTTTTAAGTTGGAACCAGACTAGCCGGAGAATGTGGTCGATGACTAGAGGTTTAGGATTCATACTTGCAAGTTTTTTCTTTCCTTCGGTTCGCCGTCCCAAACGATTAAGGGCAAACTCACCTTCCCTCAGACACACAGGAAAAACCCCAAAAAGGCTGTCCCCCGCTCAGCCATGCAAGTGTTATTTCGCATCGTTGCAAAGCCTAGTTTTGTAAAAGAGTGAAGATAATCACTGAATCGATTGTTTCAGGAAAGTCCTAAGAATTTCCAAGATGTTCAGAACTTTTTATATATATCCCATGTATAGATCTTCGGTTGTGTTTTATTTTTTTTTATTTTTTAAACTGATGTAAAGTGCAGAGAGCGACTGGAATTTCCCGCATCAGATTACTAACAGATGCTGTGACCTATTATGTTTTTAGGGAGATATATATCTTAATATATATAACGGACACAGCCTTGTTTTTTTCCCCTCCTTTGTGTTTCTGCCATTGAGCGTGCTGAGTGGCCCCCTTGACTCTGACATTTTCCTTGCCATTTTAACAGAGACATTCATGGAGAGATGTGCTCTGCTGATGGAGGGATGATTGCCAGCGTCATGGTCAATTCAGATGTGGCAGACCACCATTTCAGAGTACAACTGGACAATAGGACACAAAATGAGACACAATATTTTTTTAAGCGCTGCTTTAGCACTGAGTGACCATTTTTGTGTATGTGTGGCGTACAGTACCAGCCAAAAGTTTGGACACATGTCCTAATAGAAGACTTCTATCATAGTGGAGACATCAGAACAATGTAATAACACATATACAATCATTCATTGACCAAAAAATGTCCAAAATATCTCATATTTTAAATTTTTCAAAGTAGCCTGCTATGGCCTTGATGCAGCTTTGCGCACACTTGGCTTTCATAAGCAGCCACCTGGGATGCCTTTCCAACAGGTTTGAAGAAGATCCAAACACGCTGAGACCTTGCTGGCTCCTGGGAACTACTCGTTGAAAGACATTTATTTACATACGCATTAACTTCACTATTTATATTCGCCTCAGAATATAAATTTCGAGCATTTAAGCATAAGCCTTTAGGTTAAGCTCTTTAAGGTTATGAAAAACACATTCAGTCAGGTCTAACATTTTGTCTGGTACTGTAATGAACTGTAATATGTGTGTGTGTGTGTGTGTGTGTGTGTGTGTGTGTGTGTGTGTCAAGAATCTTCATTTTGCATTAGGAGTTTTCTAAAGGCTGAATTATACTTCTGCATCTGAGTATCTGCGAACATGAGCAGATGTTCCCATAGGTGTCTGCCAGCATACAGGCTTGTAATATGAACATGTGCACTAGGGGGCAGTGTCCAAACCAGAATGTACAGAAAATGAAGAGGAAAGTCTGGAGATATTAGTAACATCGCACCTCTTTTGCAAGCCGATCATCAAACTGCTTTATTTGATTTTGTGCTAGTTCTGGTTTGGGTCGAGTGTTGTTTTGGTCTCGTCCCACCCCCCAACACTACCAGATAGCCAATCAGCATTTGCTTGATGCACAGTTCTGCAGATTAGCATGACACATAGTTAAGATGTATGCCATGGTCTCTGCAAACGTCTTCAAGCTATGCTTATTACAGATTAGTCAAATTTGAGGCCGCCTTCTAAAAATATTTGAAAAATCAAACCCACCCCCTCAAAAAAATGGCACAGTGTCAATGCTGCAAAGCATCACTCTTATTAAGCACCAAAAGTTATGTGAGTTCTAACAGTGCCCACTTGTGGGGGAGGAAGGAAGGGAGGGGGGATAGAGTTGTTGATGCAGAGAGGGAAGTGCTTCACATATTAAAAAGGCCCCACATAAGTTTCCAGCTAAAGCTACAGGTTACCGCATGCTGGACACATCAACCGGATGACATGTAGCATCCAAGTTACTGTACTAGATGAAATCCAGACCTGGCCCATAAATTGGTAGTAGTTGACATGTGGCTTGAAATTGGCACTGAGGAAGGCAGCCAATCTAAGGTCTTTAAAGCTGCACTATGTAAGATATTTTTTTGTTAAAGCTAAAAGAATTAGCAATACTGAGTCAGGAGAAAAAACACGGTAAAATATGCCTGAAATAATCATTTAAAAGTTAGAGGAGTTTTTCACACCACGTCATACATCACTTCATGTTAGTCTTACACGCACAAACTCAAAAAGAAGGTCCGGTTCGATGTTCAGGTCTCAAACATTAACATTATACACACATTATTATACACACATCCTCAAAAGACACATCTTTCACCAAGTGACTCTTTGAATTCTTTTTCAACATGCTCACAGTCATCAGATTCATCCGCTCGGGGAAGGGGCCCGAAGCATAGCCTAATCTCCAAATCCCAAAATCTTACATAGTGTAGCTTTAAGACACTTTAGCTAACATTGACTCACTAGCTGATTCACATCATAACCTTTTAGCTGGAAAACAGTGAGTTTGTGAAAAGACAGTTATCTGATACCAAATGTGACGAATTTCCTAAATGATGCTGATTCCACTAAATCTATACGAGTTGAGTTTAAAGCCTTTTTATGTGCATTTTTCTGTAATAACTCTTGTGTGCTAGAGTTGCTCTGTGCAGCATTTCTCATCTGGTGTGCGGTAGCCTTTAGACCAGTGGTCACCAACTTGGCTCTTCCTGCAGACTTCAGGACCAACCTTAATCAGCCCCACCTGATTTATCTAATTATTGCCTTCAGGAGCCGATTAGCTGAAGGAGGTGTTTTACATTTTTGTTGGAGGTGAAACCTGCAGGAGGAGGGTTGGTGACCGGTGCTTTAGACGGCTACAGGAGTCTTTCTGTTTGCTCATTTGGACCAAACCAGGGGTCGGCAACATGCAGCGCTGGAGTCACATGTGGCTCTTTTACTGCCCTGTTTCAGCTCCACAGCAGAATTAGATTAGTAGGTAAAAATAAAATAATCCTCCTTTAGAGTAAAATAAAGCTCTGCTGATCGTTCAACATAGTTTAACAATAAATGGCTGGAGTTAATGTAGAACTGCTGATTCACCCTTTAACCCTGACACAGACAATGCCTAGCTAGTAGCTAACGGAACGGCAGAGAGAAAGATTAAAGACGAACATCGATAATTTGGGGATGTATGGACCTTTATAAGCACTCCAACTGGTTTCCCTATATGTTTAATCTGCAACGAGAGACAAACAAACACAAAAAAGTCTCCCGTTCCACCTAAATGGTGCAGTAGTTACATTCTGGCACCTCAGGCACCATTTAAGGTGGAACGGGAAAATTCGAACAAGAAGCTGGTGAATGAGAAACTGACTTCAACCTCGTAAAAAATCAAACGTTTTACAAGAAACTGTTCTACTTTTGCAGAAAAGTTTCCTGCCGGAGATGCGAGAAAAGTGGCGATAGCTGAGCTAAAGCTAAAACTGAAATAAGATGTCGTGGCTCCCAAGATGGTTTGATTTTTATTGAAAGGACAAAATGGCTCTTCTGAACATTTGGGTTGTGACCCGTGGACTAAATGGAACAGAACCTCTGACCAAAATTAGACGCTGACCCATTATGTAACCTCTGGTGTAGTATAGGGTTCAGACATTGAATAGTTCTTAAATAGGTATAATATGAGAGAGAAGCTAATCCAGAATCCTAATTTCGTGACTGTTTGATGATTTGAAAAATTCCGACTCATCCCTAAAGCTCTAGCGACACGTTTACGTGCATCTTTTCAGAAGTATAAATCAGCCTTTACACAAACTCGATCTTATTTATCTGCAGTTTTCCCAACAGCTCTGCCCCCCGCTGCCTCCTCAGGGTCGCTGGGTCACTTTTAACAAGGCTTGCTGATGACTTTGTTTGTGAGAACGTGCAGGATGTTTGAATTGAAAGCGTGTTGGACGTGTCTGGACATGCCTGAACCTGTCTTTGGGTTTGTCGTCTGTGTGTGTGAGAGGATTCAACGCTAAAGCCCCTCTCTTATCTCCCACCAAATCAAACTCAATAACACTGGCAGTTTACTGAGGCGGTGGCTCCTGTGCACAGGCGTCAGGAGGCTCTCCATATCTGCCCCCATCAATCCTCAGTGAAGGCGCGCTTACCCTGAGATAACGAGCATGGAAACGTACCGTAGCGTGTGTGGATGTACAGCTGTGTATCTGTGTGAATGAATTTGATGCATTTGAGGCATTTTACGCGTCTCCTCTTTGTTTTCCACCCATATTGTACATTGTTGTGTTGTATGAGTATTTCTGTTATACATGCCAATTTGATCTTAAGGTTACCAATAAAGAGAGATTTCCTTTTTTAAGAGTCGGCCTCGAGTCATTTCTTACCAATGCCTTCGATGTGTGTAAATGACAGCATTAAGAAATCATTTGATGCTCTTAATCATCATCTTTGTTTTTGGGGTTGTTTTCTCTTCAATGAACATCAGACTCATATTTTTTATTTCAGATTTCTAATCATGAGGGATAATCCTTTGTTTGTGTGTCTGATCGCGCTAACTGGTTTTAAGTTATTAAACGAATCTAAAATACTGTGATTTATTCTGCCATTTGGCTTTCATTATACCAAAAATGAGGAGGAAGATGAAGGCAGCGCTTTTGTGGATGCGCTTTGAAGATGCTCTTCTTGCCTTTAACATGCATTCAACTAAATATCAACTGAGTTTTACCAGATAGTTCATTGGTGGAGGATTGGTAAGTGATCTACACAGAGATGTCCAAACAAAGTGGGATCAAGATGAAGTCTGTCCTCTTGGAGTGGACGGGACTGTAGTACAGATACATTACCATTCACATTGCTATGTGTACCATTACACATTTTATAACAATAAACAATAATAACTTATAAATGTAGATTTCAATGGTATAATTTATTCACTCACTTTCCTGAGAATTTTGAAAACAAGTTATTAGATGATAAATGAGAGTTTTTTCAATGTTTATGCCTCGAAATTTGATCAGCACTTTTGAAATAAAGTGCTTGATGATGTTCAGCTCCGTCATTTCAGAATCTACACCTTCATCATTCTGGACACATCTGACATTTCTTACTTTTTCAAACTTTTTAGCTTCCTATTAATGATTCGACATCTGTGAAGTTGCTCATTTTGCTCATATATGTCCAATTGTATTGTTTTTATATGATTGATAATATTATAATAATAATAATAATAACATTGGGCCTCATTCACCAACCGATCTTGAGAATAATTTCTTCTTAAAACCCACGTACACAGTTTCTGTGAAGATTCTCACATTCAACAGTGTTTTCTTATTTGGGATTTGTTCTTAGAATAGAATCTACACACAATCAAGAGCACAAAGGTGAGAACAGTTTTGGGGCCAGATTCATGAAAGCTTTAAGAAACAAACTTGCAAACGTTCTTAAAACAAACACTAAGAAGTTTCGTAACAATGTTCTCAAATATAATTCTTGAAAAAGCCTAAGACATTCTCAAATATTCTCTTAAGAAAATCTTCATTGTCTTCTTTAGTTGGCTGTGCTGAACTTCACAGCCTACTATAAACAACATGGGATTTTGAACCGTTTTTTCGTTATTTAGTTTAATCCACTGGAAGGAGCAAAATGGAGGACAAACATCAAACCAGGCATTTAAAACATTTAGCGAACAAGAACTAGAGGTGATGGTGGAAGAAACAGCCAACAGGGAAAAAAATCATCCTGAGAAAATACGATAATTGTGGAGGGACAGCAGAAAGCAAGAGAGGCAAAGCAGCGTTTGAGTTTGATAATTGATTTACATCAAATCTTGTCAACTCTTACAGCCTAAGACAGTGAGAGTTTCATAAGGTTAAGAAAACAATTAAGAACATAATTTTTCGAGAATACCACTTGTGCTTAGAATTGTTCTTAAGAAAATAGTAATAAGAAAAAAATCTTAAGTTGTTTGAAGAATAACAATTTTTTGTAACTTTTTTCTTAAGAATGAAGTTAAAAAACACATTTAAGAAGATTTTCTTTCTTAAGACACTTTCGTGAATCTGGCCTCTGCAGTTTAAGAACACATCATGAATCTGACGTAGACCTTTTCCTAGGACCTCTCTCAAGAACATACTTAAGAGAAAACTTAGAAGATATTGGTGCAAGAGGCCCATTATTATCCATTTGTGAAATATCGAGTTGACAGAAGTGATATTAAGGTTTTCCTTAAGGCTGTTAAGATGAGATACATGATTAACGCACTTTCTTTGTAACACTCAAGCAAAAATGATGGCCACTCCTGACTGCTCTTCTGCAGGATGCTAATATATTTATTTTTATATTTATGTTTTATTTTTTACATTGTGTTGAAATGAGCAAATAAATAGAAATTGTGCACTAAAATGTTTAAACATTTTTTAAGTCTGTTCCCTGTAGAGCCCATGTGTCAAACACAAGGCCTGCGGGCCAAGTCAGGCCCGTGGCACAGTCCTATTCAGCCCACAAAATTATTTTAATTTTCTATTAATATTAGCCCATTTCACCATGAGCTGCACTACAGTTTCCAGCATGCACTGCAACGTAACGTGTGCTCCCACCCCCTCTCCAACTACAATCTAGGACAGCACCACAAAGTAAAAAAGATGCCAGGTGTCCAGTTCAAGCGAATGGGCAGTTTTAAAAACCTACTGTACACTGGGGACATTTAAAGAGGTTTAACAGTCTGCAGCTAATGTAGCCTATTGTTTTATACAAAACAATGTGTTTTTTATTTAAAATTATTTTTGAATGTTTCAGTGCCTATTTTTTGCCGTAGTAGTTTTGGCATATTTTGAATGAATAATGGCCCGTTTGGGTCGTAGCAAAATAAAATAAACACAGCTGGGTCACTGATTTGTTGGGTTTTTTAGTATGGCCCTTTTAGTGGGTGAGATTGACACCCCTGCTGTAGACGATGTGTTGACTTTACACAAAACATCATTTGACTGGTTGATGTTTAAACTTTTGCATATGAGTACAAACACTCATTGGTTGGAACGTGCAGCCGCTGTTGCTCTCATTTGACGTCAGTGATGAAAACTGGAACCTCTGTTCTTCCTGTGGAATTTTCCACTCATTTAGCCATAGCAAAGGGCACTGCTTTTAAACCGGAAAACCTCTTTTTAGGGTCAAATGTAATTGCCTGTGATTAACTCCACAAAACAATGCGATTAATTGTCATTCACTTTTTTATTACTTTAACAGCCATAGTTTTCAGTGCTTCTTTGACACCATTGAGCTGTTTGACCCCTTAAAATCCCAGGCTTATTACTTACTAAGGCTTATTATTCATTATTACAGGGCCTTTAGTTCAAACTAGTTGAGCTATTCTTAGGTTATAGAAGTGTGTGATGAAACTTTCGGCCTGCTGGCAGGCCCTGGCCATTTAAGGGACTAATTATTACTAGTCTATTGACTGCTGGATCAGAGCCGTTTGCTCAGATTGCTCAATTACTCAGACATGCTCACTCATTACCAAACAGCAAATGCGTCGAAGCACACGGGGACTTACCAGCTTTCCTGTGTTGGAAAGAAGAGGAAGTGTGATGAAACAGAGAGGAGGTGTTGGGTTAGAGACATCTGGATGGAAAAGAGGGAATCCAGAGAGGCACACAGACGGCAGTGTCGGCGCTGAAGCCTCAGCTGATCACCTCTTGAGCCACAAGTCTCGTTACACACCCAAACACGCTCACACTGGCACATTAACAGTGTGTACTGTGCACCGTAGAGCTGGTTTGAGAATAACAGCACAAGTTGGATAATTGGTTCCTTTACATTTTCCCTCTCTCTACAGTAGGTGCCCACTTTAAGGCAAGTGGCTGAACCTCAGCCTCACCTTCACAGCAGCCCAGCCCAATCAGTGCCATTCAGAACCGAAAACTCTCAGCGCCTTCAGCACAAAACGCACAATATAATCAGTGTAAAATTGCAGCTCCTTTACTTACCATTATTTAAAGTAGCTCATTCCCAA